TTCAGGGTTAATGGACTGTTTCATGCTCTTTATCTTTAAGACCTAAAATAATTTCTCCTGACTGAACCGAGGAATGCACTGGGCTGGCCCCTCTGCAGTCACAGGATCAAAAGCATTTTTCCTAAATCATTTTTTAAAATCCTTACTAAACATGTCATGAGGGAAAGTGAGCAAAATTTTTCCTTAATCTTTGTAACAGCATCATTGTCTGGGGGGGGCGGGGGGGGGGGCAGGGAGAGGGAATGATAGGCAAATTGTCTCTTTTTCTTTTAAAGAAAAACACAAAAATCCAAAATAAGAACATCTAATTAGTTCTCAGTATGAAAGGTTCTTTTATATTTATAAAAATTATGTCATTTCAAGATTTCTCCCCCAAAAAGTGACTTTCCTAGTGCAGGTAATTTGGGACTGCCTGTGCCATCAACCTGCTTAGTTCTATATCCTGGCTTTTGCAGACACAAGGGTGCCCTCATCCCCCCACCCCTGTGCCCCCCCGCCCCCCCACAGCCCACACACCTTTCAGGAGCGCTTGGGAGGCTGGCAGACTCGGGCTCCTCGACACTCCTGCACCTTTGGGGTTCCGACTTCCTGCACAGGTCCCACCCCGGGGAGACACCACAGGAGGCCAGGTAATTCTCATTCAAAGGATGGGAAACCAAAGGGGCCCTGGCAAGCTGACCCTTGGATTTTACACCTTCCCCCAGAATGGTGCAACCGTAGCATCTCGGACGTGGGAATCCATCTCCTACTCATGATTTAAGAACAAAGGAAGAAAAAAAACCCTCCAGCGCAGGGACATGAGACATCTATCCCCACTCGGGGGGCTAGGCATTCAGGGGACAGGCAGGAAGTATCTGCAGCAGCGATAGCCCAGGATGGATGTCAGCAGGTGAGACCCGGGAGGCACTTTGTCTTGGTGGCTTCGTTCCAGGAAGATTGTGACGGCAGCCTTTCCTCAGGGGTTGAGGGTTTGCCATTTGCTTTCAAAGGGCAGGCGCAGCTTGCAGAACCAGAACCCCAGGAGACAGCGGGAAGGGGATTTTAGAATCAGACAGACCCCTGGGTTCAAATTTGGCTCCATTTGTAACTCTCTGTGACCTTGGACACGTGTCCAAATCTCTGCTTCCTTGTCTGACATCCACCAGAGTAATTGACATCCTAGGTCTCAGGAGAAAACAGGACTCTGCTGGCCGAGGTCAGCTCAAGGGAATGGGCAAGACTCCTTCCAGAGGGTGGGGAGTAGTAAGGAAACCAACAGGGCCTTCCCCTTATTTAGTCTTGTTGTGAGGACCAAAAACGATGTGGACAAAACACTTAGTATATAGCCTGATGCATACATAGTAGGCTCTCCACGAATGGAGATTCCCATTCACAATTAGGGTCTTTAATGCAGCATGTGTCCTGCCTTATCTTCACACCAAAGAGCCCCTGAAGACCCCTTAGGTGCCCGGTGCATGCTGGGACTTGTGCCGATAGGAGCATTGATATGACACTGAGACTGCCCTCGGGGAGAGAAGACACGGACATTGATGCCCACAAGACAAGAAGACAGAAGTGACTCTGCTTCCCAAGCGCAAGCTCCCCTGAGTCCAGGACCGCGGCTTCTGGTCCTCTTGTCTTCTGTTTTAATACTTTTAAAGCGTTTTCTTTTTCCAGTAAGAGTCTAATTAGAATACAGGCACATTGTAGAAAACCCAGAACTTGCGGGAAAGTGTAAAGAAACATAAAAATGACCCCTCTCTCCTCTCCAAAGATAAGCATGGTCACATTTTTATGCCTCTTCCTCTTGTGTGTCCTGTTTTATAAAGTTGGTCTCATGTTGGACATGAAATTTTGCATCCTTGTTGTTGTTTGGGCTTTTTTTTTTTCCCCCACTTCTTTCATAAGGATTGAAATTGCTCCAAAAATATCTTTTAATGACTTCATAAGAGTAAATCACATGGTTGGGAATATGAACTCGGAATCAGCAGACTCAAGTCTAATTGCAGCTTCCCCCGTTCTTAGCTGCATGACAGTGGACAAGTTACTTAACTTTCCCCGAGCATCAGCTCCTGCATTTGTAAAATGATGTGGAGGGAGGATAAAATGGGCATCTTACAAAGTTGTTGTAAAGAGAAATGAGATAATTACGTGACGCGATTGGCTCAGTGTCTGGGACACGATAAAAAGTAAATGGTAGTTCTCATAATTGTCCTGATTAGTCAGTCTGTAGTCATTCTTCCACCAGTGAATATCTCAGGTGTTGCTGATTTATTTTTAGTTAAACGGTTCTGTTATGACACTCTTGAACTTAAATCTCTCTCCATACTTCAACTTTTTCCTCAGGGTATATAAAGCTATGGTCCCATGTACTAACACTTAAAAGTTGAAGTACTGGAGCCAGGTGGCCTGGGCTTACATCCCAGCTCTGCTACTTAGGAGCTCTGTGACACTGGGAAAGTCACTTAACTTCTCTGTGCTTCAGTTTCCTCCTCTCTAAAAGGGGATGCTGACAGTATCACCTGTTGTGAGGATTAAGTGTGATAATAGATGCAAAGTGCTTGGCACAGGTAAACAAAATAAATATTAGTCAGTGTTGCTTTCTTGCATCCTGCCAATTATCCTCTTTAACTCCTCTATCCCCAGTAGCTTTTAGCACTGGGCTGAGCACCAGTAGACTTCCAATTTATGCATATTAAATTGGACTAAAATTGGTTACTAAGGGTGTTCCTTGAGTGCTCTGCAAGATGCCGGCCTCCTCGTTAGGAGGTTAACCCAAGCCCAGTCCTCCTGCCCCGTCCTGTCCACATCCGACACCCACCCCACACAACTATGGCCTGTGTCTTTGGAAGGACCTTTCCTTTTGCCTCTGTTCAACTTATAACACAGTCTGCCCGTGACAGGGTTCTCTTGATAGACCCCAAATAGTCTATGGCTTCTCAGAGGCTTCTGGGATGTTAGGCCAGAGTCCCTGTCTCCATCACTGCCAGCCAGGGTTGAGGGACATTTTCTGGAACCTGGGCCCACAGCCCTTCTCTTATTTCTCACCCACAGCCTCACAGTCCTGAGAGTCTCAGACTACTTTTTCCACGAATAAGGACCTAAGCACCTGTTACGGACAGGGCACAATGTTCAGTACCAGACGATGCCCAAGCTAGCTCCTACCTAAAGCAGAAAACTCATGGCCTATAACAGTCCACTGTTCATGTTTGGCTCTTGCCGTGGACATAAATATACAAAAAGAAACTTTGGTGCTTCAGAGTAAACCTAAGAGATAACCCCGGGCTCATAGGCAAGTCCACCACAAAACCCAAATGAGAAGGTTGGTTTATGCCAAAGGGGAGGGTTGTGCAAACAGCACAGAATCCCAGGGCAACAGGCGGCCGGGACACTGCAGCTGGGCTGTTGGCAGCACGCCATCCGAAGCAGCTGTTGCTGGGTTTGTGTGTAGCTACCAACCTCCCGTGGCCATGCGGCATTAGGTAGGTAGGAGACTGACTCATGAAGATGACGAATTTCCATGTGTGGGGTGTATGGGATGGATGAACAAGTGGCTAGTGCCGTGATCTATGCTTTCGGGTGAGAATTCTCCTGCAACACAGCCTGAAACTTGGGTCTTGGACTCTCAGAGGTGGCTTCCATCTTCCTAAATGGTAATACACATCATGTTACTCCCAAGCCAACTGTCGGTTCATTCATCCCACCACGTTTGTTAGACACCTACATCGCGGAAGTCACTATATCAGGATGAGTGGATTAATCGTTACCTAGAACAGGAAAAGCAAATACACAGCAAGCACCCCATAAATCCCTCTCCTCTGCCCAAGGCAGACACCAGTCTTCCCAAGAGCCTGGGTGTAGCCTCAGTACCCATCTCCACATAGGGCTCTGGGCAGCCTGATCAATCAAGCGGAGTTGGCATGCTATATGAAACGTGTTGGCCATCTTGGAGCTAAAACAGTAGAGGCACGTAGAGAATACGGAGACAGCAAGAGACAGAAGTCCAAGCAGTCCATTCATTTTGGAATTAAGTGGGGGTAATTGCAAGAACAGCCCCGTAGGCGGTTGGTATGACAACACAGGGTAAGTCAAGGCCATCTTGGGAGCCTTAGCAATAGGTCCAGGCTAAGAGACAGACTATGTGACCTTGAATCTGTGAAAGTCCCTTCCCTTCTTGGGCCCCGGTTTTCTTATTTATAAAATGGGGATGATGACAACAATACCTCATAAGGTTCTTATGATGAGTGAATGAGATGAGGTAGTGTAAAGTGTTTAACAATACCTGTGTGATAGTAAGCGATTTGCTTTTATTGATTAAATATTTAGGTAAAGAAGAGTAAAATAAGTTACCCTCTCCTACACAACCCAGTAGAAGGACATTCTGAACATTTGATAAAATGGAAACATTTTAGGCCCAAGTGCTAGAACTAGAGTTGTCTTATTTCCATCAGAAAATGTGCTTGATGAACCCCATAGAGCTAGTGCCTAGGAACTGCCCAGAATATAGAGATATGGTCACTAGGGCATATGATTCTTAACTAGAGCTCTGTCCATCCCAAAACGGATCCCTCAAACAGAGGCAAACATTGAAAAGGGCAATGTGTTCTCTTGCCTTTGTCAGGTGCCTCAAAGCGATAATATCCTTCAATTTATGAAAGGGGACTCTTGCCAAATATATGGGATAGTCCAACAAGATTGCACCCAGAAATGGGTGAGAATGCTAGGTATACCATATTCCTGTTCTGCCTTCTTCTGCTAGATAATACTTATTATTATATTACAAACACACCACATGTCCTCTGTAAACATTTCATAAAGACAGAAAAGGAAAAAGAAAAAAATGTAAAGCCTTCATAATCCCTCCACCCAGAAAAAAAAAAAAAGTTGGTCTCTATCCATCCAGACTTCTCCTTCTGCATTTTTAAATTTTAAAAATATGAGATTTTTAATTTAAAAAAAATCCTATTTAAATTCTCTTTCTCTCTCCCTCCCCCCACCCCCCGCCCACCTTCTCTCTTTAGTGTATCATTACCAGTTCAAGATCCAGTTCATCAACCAACTTGAGAAACCAGTAGAACCAACTTTTACTATGACACTCTTCGGAACAAAAGAGGAAAACCAGAAAATTACCATCACTCTGTGAGTATAAGGTGCAGCCCCGTCTATGGTGATGACATGCTACTTTTTCTCACAGGGTCTAGAAGGACCCCGTACTTTTCAAGGGCCAGGCCAGACACAGCTTACTCTTCTCAGCCCATACAACTGCCCCAAACACCTGTCAGAAGGGATGTCCACCCCAAGCCCAGCGCCTTGTCATCCCTCAGCCTCACCCGGGTCCCACAGATTGTTTTATGGTAAAATGACCTGTGTTTACAATGGGTTCATTGTGAGGTGAGCTGAGCAGAGAGGGAAGCCAGAGGTGGCAAAGTCCGTCGTCCACACTGCAGGAAGAAGAGCCAGGCAGGAGGAGCAGGGAGGGCTGGAGCAACTGTCTGCAGGACGGCCCTGAGCTCCTTTTCAGTGAGTTCTGAAAGCCATAACCCAGAAACAAAACTGCTTTCAACTTGGCACAAATTTCCCACCTCAGTCAGCCTGCACTGCCTGCCAGCCCTGCCCATCTGTCCTTTGCCCTATTACACACCTGCTCACAACATGAACAGTAACCTCATGTCTCCCTTGGAGGCTCCCCAGTCTCACTGACCACATCTCGACCCTCAGTATGGCCTCTTCCTTGGAAGTGCCAGTAGGCCTCCGCCCGCTCCAGGGATAGTCCTCAGCTTCCAGAAGATCTCCCCCAGCTTTGGATCTCTGGTCATCACACTGATTCCGACATTCAGCAAGTATTAGTCAGTGCTGTGCCTCAGAGGTAGAGAGGACCTTAGCCCTAGGATGCTCACAGCCTAGTGGGGTGGATAGATTCCTAAGCAGTTCTTTACAACATTCTGCAGGAGGAGCTATGACAAGCCATGCAAAGGAACCCTCCATCCACCTGTCTCTCCCTAAATCCAGTGTTACCTTTGCACTGTCCCAGATCTCTCCTGGGGAATAGTTCCAAGGTGGAAAGGGCATATAGCTGCTCAGTCAGTGTTGGGACATGTTAATGTCTTGGAGACCAGTGAGTAAACCTGCTAATGATACCTCAGGCTCTGCATTTAAATCTTGCTCCAAATTGGTGCATCCCTTTAACATGTGGTTTTCTATTACTGTTAAACTTTGTTGTTTCTATTTATATGGGGAGGAAAAAAAACATGAGTGGGGAGATAAGAGTAGTGGGTGGCTCTACTGTGTTAATCAAACCTCCAGGGAGCTGAGCTGCCCAGAGATCATTGCCAAAGGCCCACTGTCTTCTCAGGGGCAGTTTTCCTGATTTGTTAACGTAGAAGCTAGTAAGCCTGAGCTCAACAGAGTTACCAGATTCATTATGGCAGATCTCTCAGAGCCTCTTAAATATGCTAACCCAGAAGATACATGACTTTCCCAGTATTAATGGTCTGGCCCACCCACTGCTGTTTCTACTAATAGTCTGTCCCACACCAGTTTGGAAAATGCAGCAGAAAAGACCTTCCCAAGTCACTCAGGCAAACCCAACACAGCCTGAATGTGCCCAACACGACTTTGCTGTTACAAATAAACTAGGTCTGATTTCCTTTGTATCTTCAAGGGATGAAGAAATTACTAGTAATAAAACCTATTCCTTTCTTATCACGTTGGATTTGGATATCGGTGAGCTGATCATGATCAAGTTCAAGTGGGAAAATGGCGCCGTATGGACCAATGTCTGGAACACAGTCCAAACCATCATCCCATGGAGCAGAGGGCCCCTCTACTCAGGCCTTGTTGTAAAGACCATCAGAGTCAAAGCGGGAGAAACCCAGCAACGGTGAGTATTGACTCTACCTCCCTTGACATCTATCAGGCATCTCCATGTGCCAGACCTCCACAATTAACACTTGCACTTATATCATAAAGTGGACACTATCATGTCCTAATGACGGCATATAGATGCTCAGAAAGGTGAAATGACCATCCTGAATTCACACAGCCATAGATGGAAGGACTGGGATTTGCACCCAGGTCTTCTGACTCCCGGTCTAGACTCTTCCGGCTGCCTGTGGTTCAGAGTTACTTGCCTCGGAGTTTGAGAATCGCCTCACTGGCCCAGTGCCCTTCAAACTTCAGTGCGCAGGTGGATCACCAGGAGATGTTTGTGGGTGCTGCAGTCCAAGGACCGCACTTTGAGTGGCAAGGACCAAGATGTGCCATTTCCTTCTTACTGCTCACCCAGATAAATGCTTTCAACAGATCGCAGTCTCGACATCCCATTCTGTGAGATGTCGCAGTCTCGACATCCCATTCTGTGAGATGTCGCAGTCTCGACATCCCATTCTCTCAAATCTCAGAGTGCCAAAGAGCCACTGGAGAGCTTATTAAATATGCAGGATTCCCGAAGCCACTTGCAGAACTTCTGATGTGCAGTGGTTTGTGAAGGGACCCAGGACACACAGTTGCTAATAAAAACCCTAAGAAATTCTGATGGGAACCAATGGAGCAGGCTTAGGAAGCCCTGCTCTGTGTGATTTAACATCTCCCTTGGTCCCATTGTCCCCGGGGACAATAAGGGATTGGGGACAGAGTAAGACACAAAAGAAAGAAAAGTGGTCCAGATGCCCCTTCAGTCCTGTCAGCAAAGGGATGCCCAACATATTTTGCCATGGCAACTCTGCTTTTCTAGAGTTCTGCACTTCTCCATGAGAAGAGAATTCTGTCCTTCCCCAGACCCTTCCTCCTCCTCCTCCCCCTCATGTTCAGGAAACTTGTCTCTCCTCTCCCACTGCCCTTTGTTGGGGAGCCCATTTCTCTCTCCGGCTTGTCCTCAGTAGAGATGGAGAACAGCAGGCCTCTCACCTCTGAACTATGCTCCTCCCTCACCCCACGGGCTTCACGGCCAAGAGTGGGCCCGAGGCAGATTTATGCCCCCGACTCCCTTATACAACAGCGCTCTGAGATTTTATCTCCCCGGGATACAAAATCCTGGCAATTACTAAGAGCATACTCTGCAGCCTGCCAACAGATTTCTCCACATGATCAATTTGAGAAAATTCAACTGCTTCTCTCCTCTTAGACACTTGGCTATTCTTGCATGACTTTCTAGCCCTTTAGAAGTGCTCAGCTTCTGACAGCCACCCCTCCCCGCACTCCCTCAGCTCGAGGGTCATTCCTCAGGCCTAGGGGCTGTTCACCATGACAATTCTCTGTGACTTGACTGGAAAGGCTATATAAAACACACCATAGCCTTCTCACTGGTGCTTACCCACATGGTTCTGAAGGAGGAAAGAGCAGAGGGAAGGGAATGGTGCTTCCAGAGCTCCCACTGTGCCGAAGGCACAGAACCAGGTCTAGAGGGTTGGTCTCATGGAACCCTCCCAGTAATGCTCGGAAATGGGTCATGTTGGCTGTGCAGATGAGAAAGCTGGGCCTCACAGAAGCACAGCCTGGGGGCACTGCTGATAATTGGCTGAGTCCAGATCTAACTCAGGGCTTGTCTGATGCCTTCCTTGTCTCTTTGCTGTCCATGCACTGTTCCCAACAGTTCCTTTCTCCATTCATCTGGGCCCCATGGATCTGACTTTCCTTAGTCTAAACCAGCAGTGTTGAAGTGCTGGGTATTCACATATCTGTACATCAGACCCTTCCTTGGAGCTGTAGGAGGTACATGCTGAAAAAGGAGGAGGGGTGGTGAGACCTATAGCTTTTTAAGTTGCAAGTATTCAGTGGCTCCTATGTGTCTTCCCAGCATGAGGTACCATCGGGGGATATCAAAAAAAAAAAAAAAAAAAAAAATCTGAGTGTGGCCCTTGGCAGAAAGAAATTCCAGGACCTAATAATTAGGAAAAACAAGATGCATAAATTTTACTAATAACATACTCCCTCCCGGTGCTTCTCAAACCTTCATGTGCCCAGGAAGCATCTGGGAATCGTGTTAAAATGCAATTAAAATGTAGGTGGGGTGGGGCCTGACATCCTGTGTCTCTAACAAGCTCCCAGGTGCGGCTGCTGCTGGCTCACAGACCACACTTTGCATAGGGAAGGTCTAGCATTGCATGGTCTAGAAAGCCTAGAAGGGAGACAGCAGTTCAGTGGTGCGGCACCACCACGGGCTGTGGGGAGGCCAGGAGGCATTCCCAGGGAGAGAGGCAGCGAGCAAAGCAATATGGCAGCCAGAACCCGATGGCCTGCGTCTGCCAGCCCTAAGCTCAAATTCCACTTGCCGCTCACCATCTGTGGAGCCTCGAACACTAACTGCACCTCGCAGAGACTCGGTTCTTTAGCAATAAATGGAATTTATAATATGTATCTCATGAGACCAATAACAAACTACCAATTTTTGAGTCCCTCTACAAACCGTAATCCCAGGGCCAGGATGCAAATATGCAACCTCACAGTCTTAATCTCTCTGCTGACTACAGGGTACAAAAATGGTCAAGTAACTCACTCCGTGCCTCCATGGGAGGAATTCAATGAGAGGTGATTTTCTCATTCAGAGGCACAAAGTCAGAGGTGAGAGGACCTATTGTGGTGGAAGAGACAGGGCAGAAAACATTGGTTCTACAGCGGGACATCAAATGAGATCAGCTACACATAATGAGAAAATGCTCAATTTCCACAGTAATCATATAAATGCAAGACAAAAACCAATGAGATTATCGCTGGTCACCCATTAGCTTGGCAGGAATTAAAAAAAGACAACATCCAGAGTTGGTAAAGGTGTGGAGAAGCAGGCACCCTCATACACTATTTGTGGGAGTGCAAATTATGGAGCTTCTGCAGGAGAATTTCATTCGACAACTAACATTTAGTGAGCACCTACCTTATACCAGGCACTGTTGTAGGCACCAGGCAGGGAACAGAATAGACAAAGCCCTTGTTCTCATGGAGCTTACATTATCGAAATTTTAAATATACATAATACCCAGAATTTTGACTCTAGGTGTCCATCCTGGAGAAATACTCAAAATATCCACAAGAGATATACATGTGCAAAAATGTTTGTTGCAGTCCTATCTGTAAATAGTAAACCATTGGGAAAACCTCAATGTCTGTCAGTAGGAAAATGGCTCCAATACACTGTGGTACATCCACACAATGGAATATAGTACAGGAAGTGAAAAAGAATGAGACAGATTCATATGTAGTGAGATGAACAGGTCTCCAAGTCCATTACTTGATGGCAATGAAAAAGGTCAGAAAAATACATACATTATAACCTCACTTCTCTTAAAAATTCTTTATGTTTGCATATGAACACTGATATATGTGTAAATGCATAGAAGTAGATCTGGAGATGGGGCACCTGGGTTGCTCAGTTGATTGAACGTCCGACTCTTGATTTCAGCTCAGGTTGTGAGATCAAGCCCCGCGTTGGGGCTCTGTGCTCAATGGGGAGTCTGCTTAAGATTCTCTCACTCCTTTCTCTCTCTGTCCCTCCACCCCTCAAATAAATAAATAAATCTTTAAAAAAAGGAAAGAAAGAAAAAAGAAAAGAAAAGAAAAAGAGATCTGGAGAGACATAAACCAAACCAGGAATGCAGAGGGGAATGACATCGGTGAAGGGTGATGGCAAAGAGGATCTTTAATATTTGACTTCATTTAGTTCTTTACCATTTGAATTTTTCAAAACTGCATTCACAAATTATTCATAACAGTTTTTTTAATTTTAGCTTTATTGAGATATAATTGACAATTAAAATTAAGATATTTCAAGTGTACATCATTGTGATTTGATATACATAGACATGTGAATGGATCCCCCCACCAACCAGTTAACTAACACACCCAGCACCTCACATATATATAATCCAGTGTTATCAACTATAGTCACCCTGTTTTACATTAGACGCTCAGACCTTATTCATCTTATAGCTAAGAGTTCGTATCCTTTTACCAACCTCTCCCTATCTTCTCCTTCCCCAGTCCCTGGGAACCACTTTTCTACCCTGTTTCTATGAATTCTACTTTTTTGGGGGAGGGGCAGATTCCACGTATAAGTGATATCCTGCAGTATTTGTCTTTCTCCATCTGGTTTATACACTATTTTAATTTTAAAAAAGTCTGATTTAATGAAGACTTGACCCTAGATGCAATACAAAAAAGAAAAAGAAGAAAGAAGAAGCCATAAACTAGAATTCTTTGTGACTACTGATAGTTTTTTTCCTAGTAAATGCAAGTTAGCAACACAAAACAGCATCTTAGGCCAACCTAACAAACGGTCAAGGCCGTCTAAGGTTTGGTCTCCAAGAGACACCCAAAACACAGAGTGATGTCCTCTCTAGCCGGACAGTGTCTGCACCAATAAGAGGAAGGGGCTGGGCTTACAGAGCTGAGCCCAGCAGAGGCTGGTGACCATGGCCTCGTGCCCAGGGACCTTTAAGAGCAGCGCTGACAAACTGGAGCGAGTCCAAAGAGGGAAGGCTGAGGAGAGAAGCCTGCCTTGTGAGGAACAGTTGAAGGAACTGCGAATGTTTGCCCTGGAGTCTGGGCAATGCAGTGAAAGGAACAATAGTTACCCTCAAATCTTTGATGAGCTGTGGTTGGGGAGAAAAAAGAACTGCCCCGAGGACTTTCTGTTCTTACTGAGCTGAAATCACCCCAGTGCAGAACTCCAGGAAGCAGCCTTACATTGATTGCTTTCACTGACTTGGGTTTTATTTTTCTCTGAAGTTACGAAAATATTTGTGCATGTAAGAATCCAATTTTTTTTTTTCAAAAATAGCATGCATTACATAAATTGAGTTTTTATTTACAAAGGATGAAACACTTCAATAAGCTCCATCTAAAAGTTAACGCTGTGTTTGCTCTGTTTTCTCTTCAGGATGACATTCTGCTCAGAAAACATGGATGGCCTACAGCCCCACCCAACCCCGGAGAAAACCTTTGTGAGATGTGACGTAAACTCTAAAAAATTGAAGAGAAAGATCAGATGAGCTTCTACGAAGTTCCAGTGTGAAGAATAAATGATCTATTCCTCATCTGGAATGGTTACCTTATTTGAAAACCCAAGTTATATAAACAATCTTGCATAAAGTTTAAACAAAGTTTAGGTTTAAAGGGGGAGTATGTTTCACTATTCTAAAGTGAGCTTTTAGGGCGCCTGGGTGGCTCAGTTGGTTGAGCGACTGCCTTCGGCTCAGGTCATGATCCTGGAGTCCCGGGATCGAGTCCCGCATCGGGCTCCCTGCTCGGCGGGGAGTCTGCTTCTCCCTCTGACCTTCCTCCTTCTCATGCTCTCTGTCTCTCATTCTCTCTCTCAAATAAATAAATAAATAAATAAAAGTGAACTTATTGGGCGCCTGGGTGGCTCAGTTGGTTGAGCGACTGCCTTCGGCTCAGGTCATGATCCTGGAGTCCCAGGATCGAGTCCCACATCGGGCTCCCTGCTCGGCGGGGAGCCTGCTTCTCCCTCTGACCCTCCTCCCTCTCATGTACTCTCTCTCTCTCTCATTCTCGCTCTCTCAAAAATAAATAAATCTTTAAAGTGAGCTTTTAGAAACTATATTATGTAACTGTATTCAAACATTTGTGTAACTAGAAATTTCCCTACTGTATCTCTGATTAAATGGTAATATATGCAATATATAAATAAGAGCCATTTTAGATCCATTGTCCTAATTTACAAGGTCTTTTACAGTTAAGTCAAATTCCCCATATTTCCCTCCTAGTTTATTCTGATCCGTTTTTTGAACCATGCTGGAAAGGTACTTCTTTATGACAGAACCCTCGCTTCAACAAAATGAAATTCCCATTAATCACTAGTCATATGTCCCCACATACACATGCTTTTTAAGACAATTCAGCTCACTAAAAGAAGAAAAATTCTAATTAAGCCAGTAGCTGCCATCATGAAGGTTGTACAATTATTTCACTGAATCAAACCAATAAAAGTAGAATTCTCCTAAAACTACTTGATGGCAACCTGAAAGCTGGACAGTTGGTCATTTTAACAAGTAAATTACTATTGCACTAAATACAATTTTTCTCTTTTCCTAATGCCCGCATTAAAAGCTAACGGAACACTTACCTCAAAGACTTAGATATCAGATTTCAAACTGTCCAGTAAATGAAGTAATGACGTTTTGACCAACAAATTCCGTCACAAAACACGTGAAGGAAATACTAGCCCTGGTCATGACCTGGGTATGTGTTTCAAGTAACTCGAGCGCGAGAGCACAGTCTGTGCGCTGTTACTGGAGTTACTGGACTCCGCGTGGCTTCAGCCCCGCGCAGCTCATAAGGCATCTGCTCTTCAGCAGAGCAGGGCAAACCAGAGCTGGTAAAGGACAAATCCCAAAGAGATGCCTGCCTCTGATGAAATCAGTTTAAGACTGTCTTACACGAGGGCACGTGGGTGGCTCAGTCGGTTACGCGTCTGCCTTCGGCTCAGGTCATGGTGCCAGGGTCCTGGGATCGAGCCCCTGCATTGGGCTCTCTGTTCAGTGGGGAGCCTGCTTCTCCCTCTCCCTTTCCCCCCTGCTTGTGATCCCTCTCTCTCTCTCTCAGATAAATAAATAAACTCTTAAAAAAAAAGGGGGCGCCTGGGTGGCTCAGTTGGTTGAGCGACTGCCTTCGGCTCAGGTCATGATCCTGGAGTCCCGGGATCGAGTCCCGCATCGGGCTCCCTGCTCAGCGAGGAGCCTGCTTCTCCCTCTGACCCTACCCCCTCTCATGTACTCTCTCTCTCTCTCATTCTCTCTCTCTCAAATAAATAAATAAATCTTAAAAAAAAAAAAAAGGATTGTCTTACACAATTCACTTTTATTTCCCTTGGAAAGACCCATAAAACTAAAGGATGGGGGTGGGGTGATAGCGAGAAAGAACAGCTTGGTCAATGTTGCCTCCTGTCCTGAATGCTGATCCTGCCGGCAGAAGTAACTGACCACACTTTTTTTTTTTAAAGATTTATTTCTTTGTTTCAGAGAGAGAGCCCATGAGCAGAGAAAGGGGCAGAGGGAGAGGGAGAGAATCTCAAGCAGGGTCCCCACTGAGTGGGGAGCCCAAAGTGGGGCTTGATCTCACAGCCCCAAGATCATGACCTGAGCCAAAATCAAGAGTCAGATGCTCAACCGGCTGAGCCACCCAGGCGCCCCAGGACCTGACCACACTTTTAGGTGAAGTGTGTTATGTGTGTGCCCAGAAATAGTAAAATGATAGATAGTAAAATGAACAATATGTCCCACTATGTCTAAAATAGTAAGATTTACAATAATATCACATTTGCATGGATTTGGCATGTTTTATCATTAACTGAACCAGAAGGAATTTAAAATAACACTTTTTAAAAAAACAACATAAAAGCACTCTTTGTTATACACCCTCCAGAGTCTATGCACACGTACACCAGGAAACACGGAAAAGAAAACTCGTATCAGCCTTGAAAGTCATGACGACCAGAAACAGCCCAAATGTCCACCAGCAAAACGCATAAATGAACTGAGGCATATTCTTACAAACGGACGGCCCCAGAGATGAACCGAAGCTACGCACACTTACAGGAATACGGCCCACTCTAGGGTCATGATATCCAGGGAGGCACTCGGGGCGCAAAATGTAAGGCAGCGCTCATGGGTTCGTATGTTTGCGCAAAGACACCAAAAATGTATACAGTCTAATAGAAGCCAAACTAAACTAGATCGTTGGAGAGGAATGCCGGAGGGATAAAACCCGAAGTTAAAAGCAATAAAGCCACCAGCACAACAGGGAGGCTGCGGTAGCTCTGGGAAGGAGGACGGACCCACCGGAGTTCCAGGTGCCAGAGGGACGGTACTTCTCACTCGGGGGGCCGAGGCACGGGGGTTCATTTCTATAACCATTTTTTAAACTGTACATATGTATGCTATTCACTCACTTGGGGTATGAATGTCACATCTTGCAAAACAAAACAAAACGAAGAGCCAAGAAGATAAAGGGCAGAGTTGAAATCACCATTTCTCTACGATAGTGTGATGCGTTTCACTATTAATGTCATTTCACACAGAATATAATTAGAAATGAGTTCATCTTGGGCCACCTGGGTGGCTCAGCCGGTTAAGCGTCTGCCTTCAGCTCAGGTCATGATCTCAGGGTCCTGGGATCGAGCCCCGCGTCGGGCTCCCTGCTCCGCGGGAAGCCTGCTTCTCCCTCTCCCACTCCCACTGCTTGTGTTCCCTCTCTCGCTGTGTCTCTCTCTGTCAAATAAATAAATACAATCTGGGCGCCTGGGTGGCTCAGCCGGTTAAGCGACTGCCTTCGGCTCAGGTCATGATCCTGGAGTCCCGGGATCGAGTCCCGCATCGGGCTCCCTGCTCGGCGGGAGGCCTGCTTCTCCCTCTTCCACCCCCTCTGCTTGTGTTCCCTCTCTCGCTGTGTCTCTCTCTGTCAAATAAATAAATACAATCTGGGCGCCTGGGTGGCTCAGCCGGTTAAGCGACTGCCTTCGGCTCAGGTCATGATCCTGGAGTCCCGGGATCGAGTCCCGCATCGGGCTCCCTGCTCGGCGGGGAGCCTGCTTCTCCCTCTCCCTCTGCTGCTCCCCCTACTCGTACTCTCTCCACCTCTCTCTGTCAAATAAATAAACAAATAAAATCTTTTTAAAAAATTATTTCATCTCTAGGAGGAAAACCTGAAGTGACACAGTATGTCATAACATTTTGGGCAGAGAACTCAACAAGCAAACCAACATGACAAATGGTTAACCAGAACATTTGAAACTCCTCTTGGCATGGGTTATTTTCACTTGGGAAGATGTGTTCATCGACATCCCATTTTCTGAAGTACATCTTGGTAGGGAAGTCAAATAGGGAAACTGAATAATGCAGCCACATCTGTTCATTGCACATGCAAAATGCTGGCTCGTGCACTCATTATATGCACCTCTCTCCAAAGAATCTGTATTTATGAGCCCACTCAGGAAAGATAACACTGGCATCCTGCCTTTCAGGCAAAAGCTTGTTTGTGCTTTTACTTCTAAGAGAGCACAAGGAAAGAGACAGAGAAGCGTCGATTACACTGCAGCTGGGCTCTTTGAGGTGCCTGAAGTCAGGGAGAAGGAAACAATCACTCCATTCACTCTAAATGAATGCACTCTCCTCCACAGTAAAGCTGACTGTCCTCAGTGTTCACCTTGATCATGTTGTTGCAAATATTGTGAAAGCTATGACCAAAGTTGCACATCCCGGGGTGGGGGGGGGGTGGCACAAAGCAAGAAGCCAAGCTGCCCAGGGCAATGCGCCCCACCCCCCCTCCCGCCCAGAGCCGGATTAGAAGAAAGTCGGATGGATGGGAGACAGAGACAAGCAAGGGCAAGAAACAAGAAGGGAATCCCAAGAGTCGCCATCTACCCGCTAACCTTATAGGATACTACATACTTCAGCTCCAATCCCAGTACATGATCAATGGCCCCCAGACACCCCATCCTTTTCGCATCTCTGCCTTTTCTTATACCTCCTCCCTCTAACCCTCTCCCCTCAATTTCCTCCTCCCTGCCTAAATGCATCTTATTTCTCTATCCAGGCCCATTATTCTCACAGTTATCTCCTAGCTCCGTCCAGCCCTTGGGGATCTTTCTAGTCTCTGAGTGCTCCCTTGGTAGTCAGTCATTCCTGCTCCCTCCTCTCTGGGTCCTCGGTCTCCTTGTCCTCAGCTCCACTCTTCCAGGTCGGCTCTCTGGGGGCCTGGGCCTCCTCTGCTCCCTCACTTCTCTCTCCCTAGGCAACCTCAGCCACTGTGCAGGCCTTCCCGTCGACCGTGTACCACAGCTTCGGTGTGGGGCTCTCCCCTGTGATGCAAATGCCCATGCAGCAGTGCCCCATGTCTCATAAGCCCAGAAGGTTCCACAATGAACCTCTCTCCTGCCTTCCCGAACCCACGGGTCTCCAAGCCCCCTGCTCTGTGGCTCATGAATGTCCACACCACCCCTCAACCGCTGATGCCCAACACTGGGGCTAGGTGGCGGGGGAGGGGGTCATCCATAATGTCGCCTCTCCTCTGGGCCCTCACGATTGAAGAGTCGCCAGATCCTTCAGCACGCCCTCATCTCTGCACCGAGGCTGCCATCAGTCCAGCGCCCGCCGCCGCTCTCCTCACTGGACGTTTGCAACAACTTCCCACCTCTTCCCGCCGCATCCACTCTTCTCATCACAGCACCCAGGGCGAGCTTTAAAAAAAAGGGGCTGGGGTCAGATCCTATCATTGTCCTGTGTAAAGCCGTTCAAAGGAAAAAGTCCCATATTTTCCCCCTAACCTCCAAGGCCTCTGGCCAAGCCCAGCCCTTCCCTCCAGTCAGCCTCCTCTGGCCCTGGATTCCCCTGTCCACGTCCACCAGGTCTCAACCCAGCCTGCAAGGCACTGGAACTGCCTTGGAAAACTTAAAAGCCACCGGTGTGTCCACCCTAGAGATTTTTATTTACTTGGTTTGGGCAAGGCCTAGGCATTGAGACTTAAAAGCTTTCCAGATGTTCTAACATGCACTGAGTTTGAGAACCGAAGTTTGAAAACAGTGGGTCTAGACACACGGGCCACCTTTCAGTTCCCTCAAAAGTGTAAACCTCTCTCCTACCTCTGGGCCTTCTCCCATCGTTATGTCACTCACGCCCCCTCCACTTCTCCCAGCTTCTTCACTGGCATCCCCCCCAGTTCGGGTGTGACTGCCTTGGGGATAATTTAAGGAGGATGATCCCACCCTTCAAAAGCTTCTATCAGCTCATCCTGTTCTCCATAACTCTTAACATCTTTTCATTCTTCTGGAAAAATTATCTGTGGCCAGGCCCTGTGGAGCCGTGAACAAAAGGAGAAACCAGTAACACTGATCCCGTCTTTATATAAAATTGTGTTATTTTATTCATCATAGGTTTTTTCATTAATTTTGACCTTTTAAAAATAGTGCCTTAAAATATTACTTATTTTGATAAGTGAGTTTCTGGAGCCCCTCTTCTACTGGGCACCCAGGGCAAGTGCCTCCCACCACCTCACCCTCGTCCTGGCGATTTATGGGACCAGTTATCCAATGTCTGTCTCCCCCACTGGATGTTGTGAGGCTCTGTGAAATCAGGGAGAGACTCTAACTGTTGGCTGCTTTATTCTAAATGCCCAGCCCACTGTGGCACAGAGTTGCCATCTTGCAAATACGTGTTGAACCAACAAGTATGGGTCGGTCATCCTTTTAGAGGTAGGTCTAGTCTTTCTGAATACACTGTAAACCCCAACTACTGTATCTGTTCACAACAGAGTTCACCGCTTTCTCATCCGGTTCAAAAACACGGACAGATTGGGGTAGGAGGTAGCTTCCCTTCCCACCTCAAGGACAACGCCATCTCTTCCCGCCCGCTAGCCTCCCCCCAGCCTGGCTCAGCCTCTGCCTCAGTCAGTTCATTAAAAGCCCTTGTGTTCCTTGACTACATTTTTACTTTTTTTTTTTTTTAAAGATTTTATTTATTTATTTGAGAGAGAGAATGAGATAGAGAGAGAGAGCACGAGAAGGGGGAGGGTCAGAGGGAGAAGCAGACTCCCCGCCGAGTGGGGAGCCCGACGCGGGACTCGATCCCGGGACTCCAGGATCATGACCTGAGCTGAAGGCAGTCGCTTAACCGACTGAGCCACCCAGGCGCCCCATTTTTACTTTTCATATAGGTCTACCACAAAAAGGATTTTCTAGACACTGAGAACTCTCTTCATGCCAAATAAGTTAGAGTTGGGGGTGACCATACAGATCATCTGTAGCAATGGTTCTCAAACTGTGCTGTGCCTGGGCACCTTGTCCACTGCCATTTGGGACTCAGTCCACCACGGAGCCCGAGAGCTTGCATTTCTGGCAAGCTCCCAAGTGATATCATTGCAGGTATAACCACTGCTGGTCCGCAGACCACCCTGGGAGTAGCGTGAATGCAGGCCAGTGTTTCCCACCCGGCTCTGATGATCTGCATCGCCTGGACACTAACGAAAATACAGCTTCCTAGAGCCCCTCCTGTGGGGATTCTAATTCAGCGGGGTGAGGAGAGGTCCCAGAGATGTTTATTTTTACAAGTTTCCTGGGTAATTCTTCTCATCAGAATATTTGAGACAACACTGACCTCATCCAAAACCTTCCTCTCGGGGGGAACATCATACCTGTGGCTGAGCACCTACAAGTGGAGGGAAGTCCCTACACTTGCAGAGAGGAAATCTGGCTGCCTGTAACTTCCCCTCTTCAGGTTCTTTCCTGGAAGCCACAGAGATCAAATTAATGCCTCAAATAGCTGAGCACAGTCTGTATGACACTGGGAGCACTTCAGTGCAGAAGTTTTCATGTGTTCTTGGGTTTCGTTTATGTGGTTGTTTTAAATTTCTCACTTTTAAGATGTTTTACAGAAGCATGAAAGCAACAGGTGAAACGATGCAGAGATGTTACAATCACCTCCCTGCAACCCCCTCATGCCCTACACCAGTGAGATAGGGCAGGGAATAGGAAGCCTCCCATGATGTTCCTTCAAACACCCACGAGCATTTATACACCCCCCGGTTTTGACTGTTTGTTTTCACCGAATTAGAATCATAGTATATAGATCACTCGGCAACTTGATTTTATTTTTTAGGTAATGATGTATCATTCGTATCCCTGTAAGGCAGGGGCTACAGATCGTTTCCTCATTCCCATATAAGTAGAATTATACATGCTAGAGAAATTAGTACAATATTTTCCTACTCTTCTTGATTGGGCCAGTGCCTTGTCCCTTAACCCATGTTGACAACTAGAGGTGTAACTGAAATTTGCCTACAGCCATATACCCAAGCATATATACACATTCTCATGTGGAAGGGAGATATCCCTGTTTTACAAAAATGCGATATTATATATTCTTTTCAACTGATTGATTTTCTGACTCAACAGTGCCTCCTAAAATCTTTCTAGGTCAATTGATACCGCTATTCATTATTTTGACGACTGCATAATATTCTACATTGTAGGGCTGTCTTAATGTATTCAAATAGTCTTATACCAAAATGTCTTCACTTTGCTTACAACTCTTTGCCCTCCTGAAAAATGCTGCATTTAAAATCATATCCTACATCTACCTATTTAAGGGAAATGTTTCTAGCAAGGGAATTGCTAGATCAAATGATTTTTTTTTAATTTAATAGATGTTGCCCTGTTGCTTTCCCAAAACAATGCAATAATTTGCAGCTCCACCAGCAGTGTATGAATTTTCTCCCCACCTCCTTCCAGGCAGAGATATTTATTGCTTATTTTAGTTTTTGCCAGTCTGATGAGTATAAGGGATGACCTCATTGTTACTTTATTCTACATTTCCCTACCTACTAATGAGCTTGAGAATCTTTCCAGATGGTTATTGGATTTGCTTTTCTGTGAATTAAAATGTTCAAATCTCATTTGCTGTTAGAATGCTTGTCTTCTTATCAGTTTGTAAAAACTACATGTTTTATGAAATATGTTAACCCTTTATCTTTCCGCTTCTTTGCAAACATTTTTCCAAACCTATTCCTCTATTGATTTTAATTATAGTATTCTTTGCTATACAGTAGTTGGATTTTTTTGTTTAGGTCAAAAAAGTCTAACATTTTGGGGCACCTGGGTGGCTTAGTCGTTAAGCGTTTGCCTTCGATTCAGGTCATGATCCTGGGTTCCTGGGATCAAGCCCCACATTGGGCTCCCTGCTCAGTGGGAAGCCTGCTTTTCCCTCTCCCACTCTCCCTGCTTGTGTTCCCTCTCTTGCTGTGCATCTCTCACTGTCAAATAAATAAATAAAATCTTTGGGAAAAAAAAAGTCTAACGTTTCTTTTATAACATGGATATCATGGTAATTTTATTCAATCCCCTCCAAATCACTGTTAATGTTCTAATTGGGAATCATATGAAATACAGAAATTAGCAGAAGAAAAACTGAGCATTTTGTTATATGAGGTCTTCTCATTCAGGAATATGGTATGTTCTCCATTTGTTCAAGTCTTTTTTTTTAAGATTTATTTATTTATTTGAGAGAGAGCAAGAGAGAGCTGGTGGGGGGAGGGGAGAGGGGGGCGGAGGCAGAGGAAGGGGGAGAGAGAATCCCAAGCAGAATCCTTGCTTAGCTCAGAGCCTGACACAGGGCTTGGTCCCACACCCCTGAGATCACAACCTGAGCCAAAACCAAGAGTCGGACGCTTAACTGACTTTGCCACCCAGGCACCCTTCAAATCTTGTTTCATGTCCTTCAATAAGCTTTTACAGTTTTTATTTATTCCTAAGAATTTTAATTTTTTGTCTTTATTGAGAATAGAATTATTCATTATTTCTATTAAATAGTGGTTATTACTATATAGAATGGCTTTTGGGTTTTGTTTATATATTCTATATTTGTCCACATTATGAAACTATCTTACTAACTCTATTTGGTTTTTTTCCTACCAGAATCTCATGGTATACAATTGTGAAGTTCTTCTTAGAAAGTATATTGTAAGCCCTAAGGGGTGACTGTGGAAGGAGCTGAAATGTCAGCAGCATTCCTGTTCTCGGGCTATTGAATGCAATGGCCCAGTAGGAGCAGGATCCCATGATCTCCTGGGTTAGTCTTAGAAAGTACATTGTAGGGGCGCCTGGGTGACTCAGTCGTTAAGCATCTGCCTTCGGCTCAGGTCACGATCCCAGGGTCCTGGGATCGAGCCCCGCATTGGGGTTCCCTGCTCAGCAGGAAGCCTGCTTCTCCCTCTCCCACTCCCCCTGCTTGTGTTCCCTCTCTTGCTGTCTCTCTCTCTGTTAACAAATAAATAAAATCTTTAAAATATATATATATATATATATTCACCATCACTTTGTACTCCTTTCCCACGCTTGGAGGCATCTGTCCTTGCTTTTCTGATAAAAAAAAAAAAAAAAGCAAAATAAAAGCTGTGTGCAGGATTCAGCGGCTGCTGCTCTCCCTTGCAGAGGCAGCCCTGCCCGGTCACTCAGATTGGTGTCTGAGAACGTTATTTCAGTGCGCGACGACATACAATCCCTTCACCACCAAAAAGACGAGATAGATAGATATATATATAGTGAGTGATTGTTTTATTGTTTTTCTCACTTTACTGGGTTTGCCAGAAGTTCCAAGACAACGTCAACTAAGAATGCTAGTAGCGGACACCTCTGTTTCATTATTGATATTGATATTGATATTGATTAACATTAACGTTTTAATGTTCTGCCTTTATAATACATCTTTTTTTTGGTTTTGGCAAGTAAACTTTATTGTATTTAGGTGATTTTCTTCTATTTTTATTAGAATTGGCTGTTGAAATTTAGGAAATGCCTTAGTAATATAAAGATTTTCTTCTTTAGTTTATTCATAAAATAAATTATGCTCATAAATTTCCTGATACTGGCTCACAACTCGCATTCTTGGATTAAACCCTCCTTGGTTTAACAATGCATTTTTTATAACAACATTTTTTATAACATTTATAACATTGCTGGACTTGACTTGCTAAAATTTTATTTAGAAT